TAGGTGATCCTCCACCCACCACCCCTGCCACTCGAATACAGTACTGGCTGGTAGAAATTACTTCTAGAAATGAGTGCATGGAGTTCAATGCAGAAGGTTTTTTTCTGTTGGCTTTTTGTGTGAATCGTATTAGAAGCTCCAGCAACAGATATATTCATTCACATAATTATAATCTTAAACAGAATTATACTTTCATTTTCCAGTAATAGCTATAAGAGGTTTGGCCCACTGGGAATATATATTAACCCTAATAAAAATAGTAATTGCCCACAGCTACTCCAAAATGTGACTGATGTAGAAAGTTTGCTCAGCTGCATGTAAGCAAAGTGGGACTCTGCTGAAAGGCTTGTCACTTGCTTTGTTTCAAAATAATCTGGTGTCCAGTGAATTGGGCATGTGGTTTATTGATCTGGTTATATATGAGCCAGGAAATCTCCCAAGCCTGTGTTCCTACATGACCCAATTGCTGTAAAGCTTTGGATGAGCCAGGCAGGTCTGATAAGCAAGAAAACCAAAGGTTTTGCTGGACATTCTTAAATAAATGTCTTTTTTCTGATAGGACTTTAAGACAAAGTATTGGAACCTGTGATGCCTGGCTTGAAATATGAATCAATTATATTCTGTATTGCTTGTTGAGAAGGTTGATGGACTAAATCTGAAATTAATATATTTGAAACTTCCAGACATGACATTTTTCACAGCACTTTTTAGTGCTGTGAAAACCCCATGGTTAGAGGGAATGTGAAGGGAATTTTTGTGAAATGCAGAATATGGTGATTTTGGCATATGGTGATTGTTCATGATTTGGAATATGGTGACAGGGATTTTCATTGCATTCAAGATCAGCCCAGTTCTCCACTTCTTGCAGTCTGTGGAATTTACCCCTACGCATACCTTCTCCAGGTGGGGAGATGCTGATGTCCCTTTAGACGGGAGATGTGCGGCTGTTGGAAACTTCCCACCTTCAGAATCCAAAATCTGCAACTTAGTTTGAGAATTCAACCCATTATTTTCAGGAAAATTGGGATGAGATTAAAGACCCAGGGGTTTTTTCATGGTTGGTTTTTCTTTGTTTTTTTTAGTTTCAAATGAGAAGTGCACATAAAAATAAAGAAGTCCCTGAGATTCTGCCACAGGTCATTAGTGCTTGGAAAGGATGGCTGACCTTTCTGGCCATCTATCCGTGAAAACCAGGCTCTGCTTTTCTCATACTGCGGTGCTTGCATCAATGGTGCCTGGGGAAAGAGGCTCAGCCCCCTGAGTGGGCAAAGAGATACTGTTGACCCTGCCATCCTCCTCCATGGAGATGCCCCACATAGGGCAGAGAGGAGACTTGATATCTCAGGGACGGACCCGTGGACCTGTGCAGTGGGATGCATCTGCTCCTGTGGGGAGCATCGTGAACCCTGGGGCTCCCAGCGTGTTCGAACAGATGCCTTGAGAGGTCCTTCTGCTTTTGCCACTAGTGATATACAAGACGGTTTTCCGTGGCTATTGAAGAATCATGTAGTGTGAGTTGTGTTGCACATTTCGGTGACAAGGAAGGTGGGTGTGTTGGGAGAAGACAGGCCATGGTTCATAAATGGAGAGAACAAAGTAAGATTAACATCTTAACATGTGGGATACGTAATCCTGTGAAGCAGAGATCCCCAAATAATCTGTTAAATGTGTCCTACAGGCCAGTGCAAATGAGCATATCCCTCAGAGCAGGGTGTTTGGCTGAGCCCTTGTCTGCTAATGTGGTTAGCAGCCTGCAGGATGGGGATCTGCATGGCGCAGATAAGGGAAGTGTGCGTGGGGGAGCACAAAAACGGATTAGGGAAGTTGTTACTTCTGAGAAGTTACCGGCAACTTGGTCCATCTGACCTGTCCCGAGTCACATCACCTTGGGCAGCAACGTGCGCTTCTCTGTCCCCGCAGACCGATCTTGTCCTTTGCATCCTCGTGTCTTGTGCATCAGAGGTGTTTGCTGTCACAACACACATCCCAGCACAGGCTCAGCTGCTCTGAGGAAGCAGCGAGGGAAAGCAGGAGCAAACAGGCCGTGTACCCACGTGTCCTCTGCCTGCCTTTCTTCTGTGGTGCTCCTTGGTCTCTGATCAACAGTGAGCATTGCTGTTAGACTCAGAGAGGCTGTTAGACCACAGATTTCTTCCCAGCATCGCTAATCCTCCCTCCTGAACGCTTTTATTGCTGACATTGGGCTCCTAAACCGTTTGCCCTTGCCTCATCCTCTCCCCTACCAGGGATGCTGTGAAATAGGCGATGTCTCACCCTGCCCATACTTCCAAAGGTGAAGGCTCCTGATTGATAGCCTCCTCTTCTCAGGGAGCCTGGCGCTGGAGCAGTGCTGCCGCTGCCGGAGCTTATCATGGCTCTGTGGGGCCTCGTTAGCACTTGTTACTTTGGTTATATTCACTTGTGATTAGTTATGGTGAAACTGCTGTAGGAAGTCACAGACATACTTAAGCAGAAATTAGCCATAAACATAAAAAATAAATTATATGAATGCCTAGGGGAAACTCCTCTGCAAACAGCATTCAGTCAACTAGGAAAGTTCCCGACCAAAGAAGCAGCGACACTGTGCCCACAGGGGAACCAGCATTTCTCCCATTTTGTCAGCAAAGGTGTCAAAAGGTGGGATTAGTTTGGACAAGTGAGGACAGTGGTGGCTCCTCCCACAGGTGGCCCTGTGAAGGGGCAGCCAGGGCTGCAGGCTCCTCTGTCTCCAACACAAAAACCAGCGCCCATCTCCCCCAGCCTCTAACTTTTGGAGAGCAGGAGCACATTTTGGATGCACCCGTAGGGTGCTGACAGACTTCTAGCAGCTGGGCTGGGGGGAAAGGGAGTCCTTCTGGCTCGAAGCCTTGCATCTCGCTGGCTCGTGGAGGAAGGAAGCATTGTGGGGCTTGGGGCTCGCTGCTGCCGGGGAGCGTGGGCTGATATTGGCAACCTGCCACCCCGGGCTGGCTCTTTGGCAGGCATGTCAGAGCCGGCCGAAAGGGAGGAAAGGGTGGGGAGACCCAAATAATGGGAAAAGCCAACACACGCTCTGAGGAAAGGAAAGGGAAGGTAAAAAGTGAGGCAAGGGTGCACTGCCAGCTGGCAGGCAGTGAGCGGGGTGGGGAGGAGGAGACTTTTGTGGAGGTGCAGGGTGTCTCTGGGGCTGGGGTTAGCCGTCCGCACGGCAAAGGCTGGTGCGGCAGGCTGAGTCCTGGTCTCCAGCCACCCTGGACCTGGTAGGCTGAGGGAATCAGGTCATTTCGAGGAGAGTTTCCCCCTCTGCTGACAGGAAGGGATGGAAACCTGTGCGGCAGGCTCTGGGCTGGCGGCTGCAGAGGGAGCAGGACCCTCTGTGTCGTGGGACAGCAGTGCTTTCCCATTCCTCCTGTGCACCCTGCGTGTACATGGGGGAGCACTCTCTTATGTGGGCCACTTGGTCCTGTTGACCTGAGGTGGCTCCCAGGGAGCTCAGTGGTGTGGGGAAGCCCATCCCCATCAGTTAGGTCCTCCGGGCAGCCGTTTCAAAATGGCTGAAAACAGCAAAGGCAGCCAAACCTCAGTAACTGGGCAGCGTGGGACATTGATTCCAAGGCAGGGGAGTATCCCATGGCTTGAGGCGTGGGATACTTGAGGCTTGAGCATGCAGGACATACCAACGAGAAGGCTGCTGCCCCTTGGGCACAGCAACGGGGCTTCCTTCGTCTTGGTTTTCCTGCCAGCAAAATCGGATGCTGCCATCCCTTCCTTTGCAAAGTGCTTTAGGATGTACCATGGGGAGGGCTATGGAGAGCTGGGTGCTGCCGGTGTCAGAGCTGCACACAGCAGGGGTGGTCCCAGCTCTGAGAGGGGTTCATGCTGCCTGGGGAGGGGCTGGGGAGGGGGTGCTTTGAACGTTTCCAGAATTTATTGCAAGCAGTGCTTCCCTTTTGGGGATGGAGTGTTTAAGAGCAGCCTCACCCACGCTCTCCCCATCCCTACTGCCAGCAGGGCTGCTGCTTCTCCCCCCAGCTCCCTCTGTATCCCTGTGTTAAGACACCTTTCCTGGGATTGGCATTTATTCCCCCCCAGAAGCTCCCAGGGCTCATCCCTGACAGTGTCTGTCCCGTGTGCCAGCTGAACCTTGGATGTGGCTACTCTCGTTGGGCTTGCTTGGAAATTTCCATCCTGCCATATAATCCCTCTGCTAGCCCCTGTGGGAAGCTGCCTCTGCCTGTGGCGATGGCGGAGGAGGAACCTCTGCGATGGGGAGGCCTGCAATCAGATTGCCGCATCCTTTAGCAGCCCTGTCCTACCTACATAGCTATGCCACCCAGGGTGCCTGCACAGGGGCTGTGTCTGTCAGCAAAGGTGGCAATTAGCGGTCAGGGAGTGTGTCACCCCTTCCCTTGCCCTCTCCCAGCGTGGAGCTGAGCACAGCCTGTACCCCCACAGCCGAGCTGGTCAGAAGGGGATTTCTGTTTTTCAGTCTGGGCTGTCACACTAGTGTAATCCCTCATGTGGAGGCTGTTGCAGTGGGATAAAGGCGCCCCATACCCGTAGTAGGATTTAAAACTACAGCGAATTATTGCCAGGTAGGAAATTCTGAAGCCTGCATGTAACTTCTGGTACCTTCTGGGCTGGAAAGCAGAAATAGCAGTCTTTTTTCCTGCTGGAGAATGATTTTCAGACATTGTTGGATAAAGTTTTCATTTAGGTTGACTTTCTTCTTGTTTTACCTTAATGTCACAGGTCATTTCTCATCTACAGTTTTGCAAAAAACTGTGATATTCCTGTGAAACACTTCAGTGTGGATAAATCAAGTTTTTAGGTCAGCTCTGCTTACCTAGGCTTATCTCAATCCCCTTTTCATATCTGGATAACCTCTACTGCACCTTTTCCCCGGCTGCACTGGGTCACCCCAGTCCTCCCTAGCAGGACGGGCAGTAGCACCGTCCTTCACTCGTAGGGCCGGAGGCAGCGCAGTGCCTGTGTTGTGTAGCCAGCACACGACGTTCACCTTGCAGTCTTTCAGGACTTCAGAGACAGCCCCCAAAAGGCAGAAGATGGAGCCTGGCCCCTCTGATGTTGATACCAGCCCATGCAAAGGGAGAATCAGCCTGTTTTTCTTTGGGTATGGGACCAAGCCACTCAACCAGCCCAAATGGTAGGTAAAAGTCAAGACTTTGAAAAATGGCACGCTTGGACAGTTTAATCCTGGAAACAGGGTACTGCACATTGCCTTTGGCTGCCTGTGAAGAGGCAACACCTGCTCCAGCTGCCACCCCCCCTCTGCTCTCAGTGGGGCCTCTGGGACAGGGCTGGGCTGGCTCAGAGCTCCCCAGCCCTGGGGATGTCACCCAGCGCTCACCCAGAGCTGCTCTGCCCCTTCTTTGCACTGCCCAGCAGCGTGGGCTCAGACCGGCTATCCCCAGTGTCAGTTGAGGTAATAAACAAACACCCCCAAAGTAGAAGGAGACGTTTTCCCCTCCTGCCTCCAGCGCTGGTCTCAGCGGTTTATCCTGAGGATCCCACCAGGCACAAGGGTGATTCCCTTCACGCACATCTCCAGCATCGCTTGTCCCCAGGGCAATCCGGTATGCTCTACTGTGATCTGATTCACCGGCTTCTGGCCCCTGTGGAGGATTTTTTTGAGCCAACATTACAAATGACCTCTATAGAGCGTGCAGGCACGTAAACCTACCGCTTTCCCACTCTGCAGTGGTGAGGGCTTTTGTCAGCTCCCAGGTTTTCCACCAAAGGGGCCAGGGGATGCTCACCTGGTGAGCTCTGACACAGGTGAGCAGACTGGAGCATGTGCTGGATGTGCCCCAGCTTCCATCCCGTGTGCTGCTGTGGTTTGACCACATGGGTTCATGAAAAGGTCAATGGGAATTTGGCAGGCACATTACCAGACAAAGCAAAAGACAAAACAGTAATAGCATTAAACATAATATTAAAAAAGAACATCTGAGCTGAACTATCTTGAGAAAAATGGCGTAACTGGAACGCCTGCTGCTGGCGTTGGTCATGAGAAGCCCTGGAAAAGTGCATTGGGGCTGAGGGAGATAAAAAGAAAGCTGCCAGGGCAAAGGCGCAGAGGGATTGCTCACTTCCAGTGAGCACAGACACTATAGAAATAAAGACTCCAGCAGTATCTGTCCCTGCTGACAGAGCTCTTTCCTATGAGCTGTGTTTGCACTCACAGCGTGCAAGCAGGCACGGAGGGGTCTGTGTAAGCCCAGGACAAACGTCCCCCCTCCACCTGCTTTCTGCCTTTTGCTCCTTCTGCCTGATGGTGTTGGGGAGCCTCAAGCTTGGCTGCTGAAGCAGGTTTAGTGCAGTGGTCCCTGGAGATGGAGACAATTTGTTCAGCACATTTGCAGGATGATTTTAAGGGATACCGTTATCCCACTAAAGTGCTGGAGCCCCAGAGCAGTGGGAGCGTGTGGCAGCCATCCTGGGTCATGCTGCGCAGTCTGCAAGGGAAGAACTCCCTCCTGCTGAGGTCGAGAGGACCTGGAGTCACTCCACTCACTGCTGCAGTTGATGTTTGCAAACTTTGGGCCTTTACTCTGCTTGACCATGGCTGCTTTCTTTTCTTGCTTTCCTGTCAGGGCTGCAGTTCAAGGTCTGGAGAGGTGTATGTTGTAAGGCAGCTGGGCAGAAAGTTCTCCCGCCCAATGCACCTCCCTTCCTGCCGTCCCACCACCCACACATGAGCTGGGTGATAATTTGGTGGGGGGAGCTGGTGGAGGAGGAGGGACAGGAGGAGGAGAGAGGGGAGTCTTTGCCTTAACTCTTGCTGTATCTCTTTGGCACTCAGTGGATTCCCTGTCTGGACTCCAGTGGGACGGGACAGGACAGGCTTGCCTGGAGGAGACCTGCCCTGGGTTCAGGTAAGTTGGGCATTTGCTCATTGAGCTGAACTAGCTGGATGTGCGTGTCATGCCGGGAGTGCCGGTGTCTCCGGTCCTTCTGTTGCCAGCTGTCGCACACCAGCTGCCTGCCGTGCTCTGCGGGAGTGGGCCAGCAAATCCGCAAGGGGAAAAGCTTCCCAATATTAAGCAAAGGAAGAGCGAGCTGGAGGATGGGGAGCAAATAATGTTTGGATCAACACAGGGAAGAGGTTTTGCTTTCAATGGTCCCTATAGGAGAGGACAGGCAGCGATACTGCTGGGGGGCTGCTGGGAAGCTGCAGAGCAAAGGGATGCCTGAAGGATGGGTACTGAAGGTTGCAGCAGCAGAGAGAGAAAAAGAAAAGGACTCAGATGGCAGAAAGATTGAGGAGATGAGAGTGGGCCAGACCGGGATGGGGATGAAGGGCAGTGATGGCTAAGTGATAATAGGTACAGGAGGAAAGATGCTGGGAGTGAGGTAGGCTGTAGGCATTACAGCTCCTGCAAACACGAGGCAGTGACTCCCTCTCCTCCTGTGCTGCCCTGCAGAGGTGCTGGCCCTGGTGCATTGACTTGGGGGCTGCAGCTCTAAAAGATGTGCCTGGGAGTGTGCTCCTTGTTCTTCTTGCCTCAGAGGCTTCATCAAATTTGTTCCTGTGTAGGGGTAAAGCAGAGAGACAGCATGGTTTGTGCACGTGCTAAACTCCGGGGATCTGTGGGCATATTTGTGAACAAACCCAGGCAGAACACATGGGGGTTTCATAACACCTGATCTGTGTCTCCTTAAATCAACAGTGCTTTTAAAGTAATCACTACTAATCAGGGCTTTCATCCAATGCCATTGGAAATGTCATTGCCCCAGTTTTTCCTCTGTGACAGATGCCGATACAAGAGGCTGAACCTCGGACCTGACCTTTGCAGCTCTGCAACAGCCCAGCTTTGCTGGGATTCATGGGTGCAGATGTGGTCCTTGCAGAGGGCAGGCTAACGAGCCCTGTGCCATATCTCTACCTGCCCGTGCGCCTGGGCAGGGCTATAGGAAAGTTTTGATGCCCCAGGTTAGAGAGCCGGATACCTTGCCTCTTGGCGGGCGCAGGTGGGATGCAGTCCCATTGCAACGCGGCGTTACAGCAGGCACTGCTAGGAAGGGGTTACGGCACTGCTGGAGTCATAGTCGGTATGCGCCTCTGCCTGTCCCAATTTCACCTGACGTGCCTCGTCCTGTGCACCAACTGGAGATGGCTGAGCCTGCCCAGGGTCAGCCAGGTAGATCCCCAGCCTGCACCTGAGCAGGATGTGGGGTGCTGGACTCCCACTGAAGGGCTGAACAGGGAGCTCGGTGTGGGGACGATCATGGTGGGAAGCCCATGTGGCGCTGCTCCGCTGCTCTGCGATAGCTGTACATGCATCTGTGCCGAGGCACTGGGCTCTGCCAAATAAACTGTTGGCTCCCCTCATCCTCCTTGCTGGGAGGCATAAGGTAATGTGTCATGCCATAACCTCACCTGCCTTTCAGAAGAATTTTGCTTGAGTACTCTTCCCCCATGCTCCCCATTTCTCATCACTCTGATAGCAAGTGCCCCCAGACTGTGCTTTTGGGAGGTTAGGAAGGGTGTGCCTGCCTGGGGGAGTTTAGCTGGAAGTCCCTAGAGCAGTGCGATGCCAAATCCCCTGTGCTGCTCTCCCACTTCCGAACCACAGACTTTTGGAGACGTTGGTTACCAACGGTGCTGGCTCCTCTGCTCTCCTGCCCCAAAGAAGCAACTCCAGGGAAGCGACTGCAAGGTTCAGATTTTAGGCACTGCAGAGGTTAGGATTTTTGTGCAGGCCCATATGCACCTGCAGAGGGTAGCTGCTTTGCTGCCCACCCTTCCTCAACCCCTCAGCCTCCAGCCTCAGGCTGACCTGGGTCAGCAGCAGGCAGCCAAGCTGCAGCCCTGGGGACTAGCAGCCTCCCTCCCTTCACCTCACCTGCCCAGGACTGCCGAGTGGCGTGCCTTGCTCCGTCAATTTGGTGCCCCGGTGAGGTGGCAGCCCTATAGCCGCTGTGTCCCCTCCTGCGGACTCTGTCCTGTCCCTGTAGGGCACCTCCAGGTTGCACCACAGGTCGTTGCCCCACTGTGCCCTGGCTGTGCCTGTTTGCAGAGTGGGTGCCGAAGCAGAGCGGCTTTCACCCTCTGTGCCATTCACCTGCTCCGCTCCTCCAGCCAGTGACAGGAGCCATGCTGTCCCCACGCTTTGGCTGTGCACAAGGACCTCTGAGCAAGCCTCATGCACCTGCAGGACTTTGGCCAGACACCTCTGGCCAGCGGGTGGGGTGGCTCTAGGGGCTCCACTGTGGCCAGCCTGGCTCTGTGTCTGTGGGAGACCTGTCACTGCGGTGCTCTGTAAGAAAGATGGATCCTGCCGTGGTTGTATGCTGCTGGGCCTCCTGCTGTGTGGCAGTGGATACAACCAGACTACGGGCTGAGTGGAGGTCTTGGGAGTGTCTGGTTTGATGCAAAGGCTGGTTTCTGGTCATATTTACATCCCATTTATGGACATCATCAGTTAGTCTTGATTTTTTTTCCTGGGCTGAAGTAAGAAACCTCTGTGTCTCTGTAGCCCAGAGCAGGGATGGTGAGCCACAGACACTGCCAGGGACTGAACTGACACTGAGAACAACAGCCTACACTGCTTTTAGCAAGGGATTTGCCACTGATCCTCAGGAAAGTCCAGCCACCATTAGGTGTTTGGGAGGCTCCCCTGTCTTGGCAGCAGAGGACAGGGCAGGAGCCATTTGGTCCCCTCCTGAGCTGGGGGTGTGTGCTCTAAAGGGTGATGCTCTATAATCCTTGCAGCTTGTATCACAGATGTACATGTCATTAGTAAACTCACAGTTGCTTATCTCACTCTTGCTGGTGTCGGTAAGCAGCAAACTCACTGACTGCAGAAGCGTTGCTCTTATTTCACGTTGGAGAAAATGTAAGCAGGATCTGATCCTTGTGACAGCCTCCTGTGCCCCATGAACCTTGCTGAACAGATGCTTTGAGAATGCCCTGCAGCCCACACAACCTGGAAGTTAATTAGAAGGTGTAAAGAAGCCAACTAGCTTTCAACAGCTTGAAATGAAGGGCATTTTAATTTTGACTGCTGTCCTGGAGTTGATCAGTTTTTCTCTTGCTATATCTTTCCTTGTCTTTCTCCTTTTTTGCAGCTGGAGTGAGCCGTTCTCCAGCAGCATTCGAGTTTGGAAGCAGCTGTGGTTGAAGCAGCCATCCCTGCTCACGTAGCTGCTCTTAGATTGGCTGGAAAGCACTTCTGCTAATATTTTCCTGTCCATCTTGCAGATATTACCTATTCCAGAAGCAGCCCCCGCGCACTAATCTAAGCGGGTTTGTTCCTTAAGCCATACTTTGGCACTGCTGTTCCTCACTGAGCCCTGATTTTCTGTCTCTGCTCCCACAGCCGCCCCCAACTTCTGCCATCGAAATGCAACGCGGGATTTCAGCTGCCAACTAACTGCTGGCTCATATTGTGCAACCAGAGAATTTTCTGTGTCGTCCTGCTCCTCCTTTTGTAGCACAGCCCAGCCTGCTTGCCTTCTGATTCCTCCCTCACCACCTTAAATTGCAGCCGATGTGCTTGATTGCTACTTGTTTCAAAAGGAAACCAAGAAATATAAATTCAGTGCAGCTATCTGCAGCATCACCTGCAATTCTGCCTTCTGCAGCTCAGGCAGCACTCACAAGTGTCCAAAGGTTCTTTAAAACTGTGCTTCCTCTAATAAGTGTTATCAGCTGCTTTTTAATGACATCTCTGTTCATTCTGTCTCGCTGTTTGCTCTTGAGATTGTCCTCCTCTCATTTGCCTTAAGATAAAACAGCAGAAGAGGTCAGACAGAGGATGTTAACTTCCCAGCAGTAGGAGCTCCTGTATGATGGCAGTCGGGAACAGGCAGTAAGTTTGCAGGAAGAAAAGCTTTAGGAAAATCTCTAACAGCTTCTTCCTCTGGTGCCAAAACCCCAGGTGGTTTCTTTCTCCTCTCTCTCATGTCTTTCTTGTTCCTTGTCTCACCTGAGAAGCCCTGAATAAGCCCTTTTTGCTCTGGGAGAGGCTGAGGATACCACCATGTTTTGCTTTCGAAGGACACTTTAATTCTCCTCTTTTTCTGATTCCTGCCTCCCCCCCTTTAGTCACAGCTTGTTCCCAAATAAAGCCAACAAATGCTGTTCTCCTGCATCTCTGCATCATGTGTTCGGTACATCGGACCCAAATGGTGTTGGGTCTTCACACACTTCAGAGGTGTCCTTGGCTTTTCTTGCCTTCTGTGGCCATACTTAAAGGATCCCATGGTGGGAGGTGTGGGACAAACACAGCCCAAAATTTGTGACCAAGAGGAGACCGGGCTACCTCATTCAATATTCGAAGAAGGGAACGTGTTGGTGTGGTCCATGTGTATGGCTGCCTGCGTACTGCCTGCTCTCTTCCCAGTCCCTGGGGGAATCCAAGTGTATTCTTATTTTCTCAGCAATAGATCTTGTGGGGAAAAAAGTGGCTGCCTCCATGCACCAAGCCCAGCACCAAGTCCAGTACCATTTCATACAGAGCTGCCTGTTGCACTGGGCACAGAGGGAGTCCCCTCCTCTCTGTGGGAAGATGACAGGCTGGGGGTCATATCTGCAAAGGGTACTCCAGGCCTGGAAGAAGGCACCTCCTCAAAGTACTGAGGGTTGAAAATACAGCAGGGCACCTCTAGAAGAGACTGGCGAGGTCAGAGGGAGCTGAGGGAGGAAGGTGGTGGTGGCTGAGTGGGACCAGGAGAGGGGTAGACTATGGACTGCATCAGGTATCATCTTAACAGCTGGAAAAACTTTATGGCAGAGGGAAAAAAGAGGCTGGGAATGAAGGATTTAGAGGATTTTTCTCCAAACTTTGATGAAGGAACAGTAGAAGAAGTGCAGGCAGGCAGCAAGGGGCAAAGTCCTTTCTCCAAACTTGTGTATTAAGGAGAGGGACATCCAAAGGGAGAAGAAAACGCATCTGCCTGTCAGGGAGGATGTAACACAGTGGGTTGCTGTGGCTGCTGTGGGAGAGCCAAATTGTTCCTAGCTGGAAACAAGAAGTTATTTGAGTTCCCATCTGGCCTGAGAATATATAGGGCAGGGGCACAGTAGGATTAGATGTTCAGGAAAAGAGCCAGGAGGTGTGTGAATAGGCTTTCTCATAGAAACAGCAGGCAAAGCAGAGAGGGAAGCAGTGGGGATGTGGAATGCTGTGCGTCACTTTGTCTGGGAAGGGAGAAGCTGAAGCTCGTGGCACAAAGGGCCAAAACTTTGGGCACCAGTTTAATCTACCACCTGCTCCCAGTTGAAAAGGTTTGATTCCATAACCAGGGTGCTTTCCCCCTTTATTTTAAAAAGGTGGAAAATGAAGCCACAATCTTGCATTTACCCTGCTGGTCTGTGTTTCTCCCATCCCTGTACCCCATTGCAGCGTCCCAGCTTCTGTCCTTCGTGTTGGCCTATTCAGGAGTCAGAGGACAGATGCAGAGTCAAATCCCTGGTCCAAGCATCCCTGAGGTGGAGGCTGGTGACAGGGTTGAGGCTGTGGGCTGGCACTCAGGGCATTCCCTTCCTGAGGTTAGGTGAGTGGAGGTGACTCCCTGATTGTGATCTTCTCCCTGCCCCCATGTGTGAAAGAGGTCTAACACAAAAACATGGAAAACACAAATATTAGTAGAAATAGGCTGGCTCTTGGAGCCACCTTGCATTAAAAGAATAAAAGCAAAGAATTAGCTAAGTCCTCTCCTGTCAGCTTCTCATGACATCCTCAATAAGCCCAGACTTAAGCATCATTGTGCTTGATAATGTGCCCTGGACTGCAGCAAATTGGAACGTGCCAAGGACTGTGACAGATCAAACACGTTTCATTAAGTATGTGTTATTTTTTCTCTCACATTTGACAGTGCGTGGAGCTCTGCTCCTCTCAAAGATGAGGAGGCTGTGCTGCAGCATCTGAATGAACTGATTAGCCAGTTGGCAGGCCTTGCTGCAAGCAGGCAGTGGGGAAAGGGACCTTGCCTGGGCTTCAGAAGCTGAGAAAAGACTAGTGGGAGGACCTGATGTTTCCACCTCCTGATCCAACCCAGGAGGCAACTTAAGCGAAGGGGGCAAGTCTGGGACTGGGAGGACCTCCATGCTGGTGAGCTGCAGAGCTGCCAGCTCTGCACCAGACAGCGTTTAGAGTGTGTGCCTTGATTTCTGGGTTGTACCACCTTCTTTAAATGTGGGGTTAGAGGTTTGTATGAGTCTGTTGTTAGAGGACTGATTCAGCTTCACGCTCCAGTGTCGATCCACACGTGTTGTAGTACTTGGTGGGTTTGGGGCAGTGCAAGCCATAGCAGTGGCTTTCCAGCACGTGGACCATAAAGGGCAAGGGCTGGGGGAAAAAGGGTGGTTGCTTTCTGGGTGCTTTGGTGCCTCTGGCACTGAAACTGGTTGTGCCCACTGTGGTACTGCCCATATATAAGCCCTTACTGGAAATAGCTCTAAAACCCTCTCAAATTCAATAGGGGATCAGAATCTTTCTGCAATATTTTTGAAAAGGCAGCTATATAGCCCGGAGGATGGTCTTCACTGACCCCTGACTCCCCTCCTTCATGGTTTATGCTCCCCTGTTCTTGCTGCAGCCTCTCTTACTAAAGGCGGTGTTAATGCTTTGCATGGGATTCAGCCCTCTGCATTCAGAGTCCATGGAAATCTGCTGCTGATTTCAAAGGGAATAAGACGAGCCCTTCAGCACGAAGGCAGATGGGGGAGAACAAAGACTGTTGTTGCCCTGGGCATTTAAAGAGCAATTGGTGCAATTGTGAGATCTGTTTTCCTTTCTTTACTTGAATGACAGAGGGAGCCAAAAAAAGGCATGTTTTGCTATGAACATTCAGTAGAAGTTGTCTTTTCATATGCAAGCATCTTTCTTTTCCCCAGGGCCTGATATATCCAGAGGGTTAGCATTTAGGAAATCTTTTCATTTGTACTGGGCAACCTACAGCAGCAAATGAGATACCGTGATAATGATGCTGTCTTGTGTGGAGTAAGTGCATAGTCAACCAGTTCCTGCTTCTGCTTCCCCCCTTGCCTCATTGAAAACTACACTGAAACAAGTGCCATGGTGTTTTGAGGCTGCTGGGCCAATTTGATGTTAGGACTACACTTCCCAGTTAGGTCAGACTCCCTGGTAGTCCCTACTCCCCATGAAATGGCTCATACCCCGATGCTGGACTGGAGGGACACTAGGCACAAGGAGGGAGGGAATAGTTTGCTGTCATGGTTCTGGCTCACCATCCTGGTGCAAAAGGTTGATGGGTAGATTTGGTGGTCCTATCAGGTAGAGGACATCAAGGATGATGAGGTCTTCCTCACCACTGACTTGCTGACTGGGAGAGGTCCTTAGCCTGAGCTGCCTCCAGAGCTGTACTTGGACTTTGCCTGGGAGAGAGCAAGCTGAAGTGGTCCAGAGCAGATCTGGGGGCTGCGGAAGAGTTAAGTAGTGTGGGTGATGCAGATTGCTGTCCCTGCTGCTCCCTGGAGATGTCCCCTTAGGAGGCACAGAAGGAATGATAGATATGCTATTAAAAAACCCTGATAAACTACCAGCAAACAGAATCTGTAAATTAATGTGAAGGAACAAAGCCCTGATTTGTTAGTGCTCTCAGCTGGTGGGAATGGAAGCAGAGATGCTGATGCTGCTTTGGAGAGGCTTGTTTCCAGTGTAGTTTCCTAATCCCAACATGGGAATGTATATCCCTTCCTAATGCTAGTCACCCCTTCAAAGACTAACTTCTACACAGTAATGCCACCAGTGAGATGTCACTAGAGTTAGGACTTCCCTGGCAGAGTTCATCAGCTACCCTGCTCGTGTTAGGTCTGTGCTTTCTGGCTGGACTCTCATCTGCATCCCTACCTCAGGTAACTCCTTAGAGCAAGGTTTTGAGGAGAATTTTTTTAGCAAAATCAAAGGGAGCTTTCTCTCTTCACACTTTAGTTTCTTCTCATAATGAAATGCCTGTAAACAGTATGAAAATGTTGTCAAGAAGAAGATTCAGTCTAGTCTGTGTCAATTTTGGTTGTATTTAAATTAACTAGCCAATTAAAGGACTTTGCCCCCATGCCCTGCTTCAGCTCCAGCTCCTTTTCTCTTCCTCTGAACTGCTGTTTCCAAAGTCCAGTCCAAGTTTCCAGCAACGATGGAGATGCAGAGCATTTAGGGTGCAGGGGGGTGGGTGGAGGTACACTAAGGCTGGTGGTCTGGGAAGGATGAGGAAAGGGGCTGTGGGGGGGATTGGTGAATTTGGGGGTGAATCCAATGAAGGGGTGGTGCAGGTGGTCCCATCTCACCTGACCAGTGACCTTTCCTCTGTCCCTTCAGCACAGACTTTCTGTCCAACAGACAGAACTTGGGGAAAATGCTTTGTGCTGACACTAAAGAAGCCATTTCCCAGAGGATGAGGGAACCTCACAGCGATATTAGGAACACATCTGCTGTGGTGACTGGTCCTCTCCCTCCTCTTCCCATCAGCATGTCCTGCAGCAGCTTTCTATGTCCCATGCTTTCTTTTTCCTCTGTCCTACAGAACCATGACAAGAGTTGTGGCCCAGGAAGGAGAGCCCAATGGGGCCATCGCAGCTCCAGAAGAGATAAAAGAGGAGGAAATGGAAGAGAGAGGACAGTGGAGTAGCAAAATGGAATTTGTGCTATCTGTGGCTGGGGAGATCATTGGTCTGGGTAACGTGTGGAGGTTCCCATACCTCTGCTACAAGAACGGTGGTGGTAAGTTCACAGCATGCACAAGTTGTCCTAGGTCTGTAGGCACAACAAGAGATATGTGTGTGCCTGGATCCATTTCTCCTACGCCTCATGTGCCCCCACATGCACTCCCTTATTCTCTCCTCCAGCAAGTTAGCTCCTGCCAAATCCAGGAGGAATAAAACCTGCGGGGTGAATCCATCTCCCCAGCAGGTATGGTTTCTCAAAGCAGCTCTCCCAAGTTTGGATGCTGAATTGAACTTTAGTAACTCTTTAAGGCTCTTGGACATCTTGAGTAACAGGTGGTCTTCCAAAACCATAAATGCTGTGAGTGGTCAGAAAGCCAAAAGCGATCTCCTATACAATTCCCTTTTACCACTCTTGGTGTCACCCCCACCCCTCTCAGGCCTTTGTTATAGAGGATGAAAGGCTTTGATGGTGCTGGTATCCTTGCCAAGGCCTGATACCCCCTAGAAAGACATTGCTGCCTCTTCCCCCGGAACAGTTCTCCAGTCAACCCACTAATAGGGAAACCCATCCCCAGGAAGAGTCTGTTCCCCTTCCCTTTTGTTTCTTGCATGACGCTCCTTTTCTGATAACACTGCAACAAGATCATTACCTGATTAAAAATTAAACTTTCTCATAACAATAAAATGAAACTGGGAAAGAGGAAGGGAATAATTGACTGTCACTAACTTTTCTTGGTGAATCAAAATCTGACTTTATAAAAGAAAAGGAGGAATAATAAATTACATGTCAAATACAGCAATAACGTCTCTTTTGTTCTTGTTCTCTAGAGACACCTTGAAATAACACTTTGGGACTTGCATGTTCCCCCCAATTTAAACTTCCTTTCTCTGCACAAAGGCCTTTCTTTCCCAAGGTGCTGTGAGCTTTCACCAATGGATGAATGATTCAGCTGTAGTTCAGCCCAGGACTACCAAATTCCTGTCCCATGTGCTGTTACTGGAGTTTACCCAAATCAAGGAGGAGTCAATAGAATGTCTCCTCTGAACCAAATGGGGGTTGCATAAGAGGTTGGTTAAAGAAAATGGAATTGAGTTTTTCTTGAACCTGGGATAGTTTTTAACAGATCCTCCAGTCTCTTTCTCTGAGGTTTTGATGGCAGGTACTGGAGGCACCAAAAGCAAGTCAGACCAGCACGGGTTAGTAAACACTAGTGGTGCATCTGATTGAACAGCTCATTCTGCAGTGATGCTTTGAGAGAGAAGTCATGGTTTTTGCATGGAAGATTTCTTCCTGAGCTCAGATGATATCTTTGCATAGTTTATGCCTATGGTATCCAGTTCAGTAGTCCTTGCAATTTGTACACTAATTAGTGTAAGTGAGTTCATTTTAGAGATCTATTGAATAACTTTTTGTTTTGGTTTGGTTTGGGTTTTTTTTGTTACATTACACTACTCTGGAATATCTAAGGCTGTGATTCAGAAGCCAACATGGCTAGGCTTGGGAAAGATTAGGATGGGAGTGTCCTTCCCTCACAGCTCTCACACTACCTTTGCAGAAAGTATGCTACTACTGTAGAAGGTACATTTTTCTCTCTTTAGGGCTTTAGGGAACCAGATGTCCGACAAACTAGTATGGAGCAAGGCACTGCCATTCCTGTGACACTCAAAGATACTCTCAACATTGGAAAAGGCCTTGAAATTACAAAAAAAGACATTTTCCACCTATAAATGCTTCATCCCCATCCCGCCTTCCCACCCCCCCCAAACCGGAGACTGCTGTCCTGTCACCTTTCTCCACCTTGGGATGTAGTGAGATGGTTATAAAGCTGTAAAGACGGATGTCATAAAAACAATTGTGCTAACTTGTTGTAAAGCAACCAAGTGTAAACTTGTCTGTGGCTGCACTTTCAAATTTGATCTAATTGCTCAGCATCCTGAACTTGTTATTGACTCATAAGGAAAGAAGGTCTGGTTTTGGGGGCCCCTCTCAGGGCTGAGTCTCCTCCAGTGGAGCAGCAAACTAGGGAGGAGATCACAACTGGAGTTTCAGCTGGCAACTGCTCTGGGAAGGCTGAGAAAGACAATACGGTAGAGGTGTAAGAAAGCCCTCATCACTCAAAGACCAAAATGGAACAACCTCTGGGAGAAAAGGTATCAGAAGAGAAGGTCTGGGACCTGCTGAAAGGCTCATCTGTGTGCGGGATAATAAAACTGCCTTGCAGATTTGGCATACAGATCAATGTCTTGCAGCACCGAAAGCGGCAGCTGTCTCTAGTTCAGAGCACGCAATTCCCGTTCCCTGCTCTGCAAACCTGGCCTGGCGCCGTGAACCAGCCTCCCTCCCTCTGGCCCCAGGTCCCCTGCAGCTACCGCACAGCTGTGCTTAGGAGAAATTTGGATGTTGCTTGTTATTGTAACATGGTTGGCTTAAAAACAAGGGGAAGTGTTCCTAGTTGCTAACTGTCATGGGAAGGAATTTCAGTACGAGTGCCTGTGCTGGCAGGGGAGGAGAGGGCCTGGGGGACAACGTCTGGCTCTGCTGAGAAAGGGGCCCGCATCTCGGCTGCAAACACCAGAGATGCTCTCCAGGCACGGGCAGTGGGAGATACTCTTGGCCAAAAGTTTACTGTATGGGATGGCAAGACCTCGACAATTGTTCCGGCGAGGAAGGCAGGGGCCTTGGCCTGTTTGGAGGAGAGCAGAAGTGTGAAAACCTACACTAATGATGGGGAGAAAAACTGTGAGGTGATAGCAGGAAGGTCAGCAGTGAAAATGTGATCTCAGGAGCAGTTTTGAGCACAACAGCAAAAATATTGGGTGTTTCGGTTTGGCAGCAGAACTGAAAAGAAGGAAAAAAGGGTTTGGGCAGCTGAATAGGGCATTAGATTTGTTTGTTGTTTCTGATGCTTTGTTTTTGTTGGTCATTGTTTCTGGAAAAAACTCTGCTATCTCTCCCCTTCCTCTTCCATTTTTTCAAGGGTTAATCTGAGGGCTATTTCAGGCTAATTTATCTTCAGACATTTCTCTATATTTTAATAAAAAAAACAATTTGAAGAGAGAAGTTAAACTTTTTCATTTTGAATACGCTGGAAATATACTCTGTTGCCCTTCCCCTATTTCGATTCTTTTGGTGTAAACTGCTTCTCAAATTTGATGTGAAATATGTCTCAAGCAAATTTATATCCTGGCAAATTTATTACTTACCAAGAAATGTCACCAGCCTCCAGGTTCGTATCCTCTGGGCAAGTGGGAGTTTTGCTGTGACTCCTGGGAAAGGCAGAACAAATGTGGTTATGTGGAACAAGGACTC